GTATATTATTACTAAAATAGTTCTTTGGGTCCCATGCCTCAGAATTGTACCCGTCCTCCTGCTGTTCCATGAGCATGTCACTGCTGCAAAAAGACAAATGCTTCTCTGTTTCGTGGATTTATGAAACTAGTCATATTCAAAAGAGTGACTTTTTTTAAACTGGTTTGAACGTAGAAATTTTATCTACCTGTTTCTTATTCCTGGAGGTAGATTTCGCTTCCCAACATCAGTAGCTGGATTCATGCAGGCAAACAAACGGAAATCAGCATGGCGCACCAGGGGCTCTAAAAGAAAGGGAAAAATTAACTTCTGTTCATACAGAAGACAGCCAGGTCTTCCTCCACTGAACCACTGTGCTATGATACTGCATTTCTTTTCCTACAATGACCGTGTTATAAAATATTTAATGATTCATTTTGTTTGAGTTGCATCAAAATAACAGTACTGCTGCACAAGTTGACCCAATTTGTTTCCTTGTAGAATATTTTGCTAAAAAAAAAAATGTATACTACTAGGCTCATGATCACTCAGTCACTCTCAGTAGTGGATGGCGAAGTCAGTGGCTTCTGAAACTGCAGAATGGTATGAAAACACTATTAAATAAAGTGACAGCTGAGTTCTGCACTAGTTGGCCATTGCTACTATTTGGTTCTAATGAAGTAGTCAGGGCACCAATGCTGCAAATCAAAATTACAAAAGCTGTGGGCAGTTACCTCACTTAAAACTGCAGATTTAACTCTGCAGCTTCAAGATTTCTGGTCTCAAGTCCCAATCTTGGCCTGGACAATAACAATTTATTTGCTAACAGCCAAGGCTGATAAACAGAGCCAAGTGTTACCAGCACTCTGGTGCAACTACAATCGAAGCCACTTGTGTGTTCCCAAGTTGGCCTGGCATATGTATTTCTGAAGTACGCTGTGCTAGACACATATATACATCTTAAACAAGTACCATAATAGTACCTGTGTCTCCTCTGTCTAGCAGTACCAGTGAGCCAGATGATCCTTCCAGTAAGCCACTCAGGCATTCTAAAGTCTCTGCTGCAGCCAAGTTAATCTCATCCAGTAAAATCCACTCTCCTTTCTTTACTGCTTGTGCCAGAGTGCCCTAAGAAAGGACCAATTAACATTAGTTATTTTACCACCGATGATGTATCAACACCAAGCATCTACAAAAATACGCCCCATTTTGTAATATGCGGACCAATTACATGAATGGCAAGCCACAGTACACTTCAGTGATGGCAACCACACCTTTTCTCAGATAGCAACTACTGCCCAAATAAAATCAGGTAGTTTGTTTTTAGTAGCAATCCTTTTACACTCAAACTTTTCAAGTTACCAGATTTGTCTTGCACATTCATTCCTATAACTAAACTTCTTACTTTGTACACCCATATGAAATATTCATAAATTATTTTTCAGCGTACCTACCACAATAGTACCTCTGTCAGCACTGCTACAAGAATGAAACAGCTCATAGTTTACTGTGATGCTAACCTCGTAAAAATGCTAGTCATTTGCCTGTGCTGCTGTTGCTGTGATAGTCCAGGAAATGCCTGGAGGCAAGGTTTTTATGCAATATCTTTAACTGGGTGCACTGTGTACTTGGGAGAGCTCCTGGGCAAACTTTCAAACATCAGGTACCCTCTCTCCTCAGGTCTGAAGGAAAGGCAAAGGAAAAAACCTGCAACTGCAAACAGATTGCTCAGAAGGATGCAGTCACTGGTTTCTCAGACAAAGTTTTGTACTGCTAATTTAAATTCTACTTACATCAGGGGGAATTTTCAGCTATTTTTTTATGGTTATTCACCTACTAAGACCAGTGATTCTCAACCTTTGTAGACTGAAAATACTTGTTAGAATCAAGGCACGCCTCAGAAAATGCCAGCTCTTAGTTTTCACACTTTTATTTTTTACTACAGAAAAATAACAGAACACTTCTTCTTCCTGAGTTCTTTGCATCAGAAGAACGCGACAGATAAGGACATTTTTGGCACTATGAATTCCTGTTGAAATTTCTTGGTTTATCTTGTGAATCATGTTTGTACACCTAACAATGCTAACATTGTGTAGCACCCCACAGGTTAAGTATCACATATTTGGACAAAGAAAATGGACTTTGAATAAATGCTGTCAAGTTAGTATGATTACAAGGAATCTGGGGACCACTAATGAAATGGTTTTATATTTTTAGGCTTTAGTGTCTATAAAGAAGTTTGTGAATGGTTGAAGTGCAGCACTGTATTGGTATTTAAGAGACTAGAATCCCTTGATAACAATATAGACAACTCAAGTTTTCTCAACAGAGCATTTCTAACCCTGTGTACCAGAGAAGATGGCTCAGCAGCACTTATATATATAGCTCTTAAAATACAACCACTCTGTTTCTTTAGAAGCAATCAGCTAGTTCTCTATTATACACCCTTCCCCACCCACATCTCTTATAAAAAATAAACACACCAAATTCCATATTAGCATCGTGGTTGAAGTTTTACTTCATAAGAACATATTTAGGTTTACTGACATAAGTCTTATAACACTGGTTAAATAATCATAAATCTTCCTCCCACACTTCCTCCAAGTGCAAAACGGAAATATGTAAATACCTCTACAAAAGCAAATAATAGAGCATTTTCTGTCATTTTCATCTGTTGATGGGCATGATTCAATTTAAGACCAAATTCATCCCACTTCTCTTTCAGTAGCGAGCCTACAAAAAACACAAATCAGATTTTGTATCATCAGAACAATGCAAAAACAATGCTGCCACTTATTTTGTGAAGCTGGACCACAGAGTGCAGTCATGATCAAGTTTGGATGAAACGCAAATATTCAAATTTTCGTGTTTAGATCCCATGAATTCAAAGGAGTTTTAGAATGTACTGTAGAGTAAAGAGAATACACCAGTCAACTTGCCATTCCCTCAAAAATTGACCATTCCCTACACTAACAAATTACTGGACTACTTTCCAATCCAGCGAGACCATGAGGAACAGCTGTGAATAGAAAGGATGAACTCTACAAACCCAGTCTTGGGACAGTGGAGATTAAGACCAAGGAGTTTGGTGGATGGTGGTATCTTTTACTGGACCAACTACATGGTTGGGATAGTTAGACAAGTTTTGAGTGCAAGGCATTCTCCATCAGGTATATCAGATTAAAAAAAACAACACATTGTGGCTATACCAAACATGCATCTTTATGAAGTTCCAACACTGTTACTTGCAGCATGAGTTTTATTTTTTTGATTAAGTTGCTACCCAAGGCAAGAGGGCTTCAAAACAGTATCATAATGTTTTATATTATTATCTTTGGAAGTTTATCTTCTGTTATTATTTTTTTATTATGCCCTCTAGGGACTGCCACTACATAAATGAGCTTTAAAAA